GGGAGAAGCAGCGAGATCGAGCTCCTCACGCTGTCGCTATCTTTCTCTTTCAATCATCCCTTTGTTTGTTGGTCTCTCTTCCTGTCTGTCTCCGTATCAGCTGTTTGAACTTGCCTTAAAAAGTTAACTTTGTTTTCAAGCCTACATATGTGTTAGGGTCTGGAAAAGACAAAACTTCAAACCGTACATTGTAAGTTTAAGATTGTTTAGTACTGTAGAAAAGGTCAACTTGACTCATACTGTTTTGGCCCACAAGTACCACTGTTGTACTGCAACAGTTCCCAGGAGGCGGCCCATATTACTCATGGGATTTAAAGCTGTCCTATTCTGTTTGCCAACATGAACCCTTCCCACGAGCTAGTATGTACCCTTGTGCTCTGCGGTGACCTCATTTTGACTCTCGGTCCAGTGATACTACACTTGGTTGTGTGTGTGTGTGTGTGTGTGTGTGTGTGTGTGTGTGTGTGTGTGTGTGTGTGTGTGTGTGGCTACATGTAAGGGAGGAACATTGACACTGCATGTTTTAGATCTGTATAATTATTACCAGTGTATTTTCTCCTGATTAGACTTGATCCTACAGGCTACAGAATTAATTGATCTTGATCTTGACACTTCAGGCTTTCTGGGTCATCTGCACACTTGGTGTATTATTACACATGAACTTGAACTTTCTTGCTCCAGTGGCCTCTAGTTGCTGCTAATGTAATTCCAGCCGTCCATATAATTACATGTGCATATTAGAATTGAATGTCTCTTGGCCTACATGAATTGTGTTCATAATCCCAAAACAAAATGTTGTTGAAAAGTTGTTGGTTTCAACATGGTGCCTCTTTAATACGTTGTTGCTCTTCTCCTGCTAGATGTCAACAGTCCTTCTGTTGCTTATTACGGCTGCTCTATAATGTGCATAAGGTTTGTTGTCTCAAAGTCAACAACACTCTTTGAACTTTGGCCCTAGTCAACTTTTTGCTCGTTTCCCAACTGATTTAGTGACAGTTTCCATTTAATAACTTGAAAACTAGAGAATTGATTTGAATTGAGATTTGAAAAGGGGGCACATTGCAATCATTTGAAAACTCTTGTTTGAAAAAATACAACATACACACACAAACTGTTTTGCTGTCTCCATTGACCTTTTGTCAGCACACACAGCGCGGAGCGGTTTGTGCTATAATTATCCACATCCTCGCCGAACTCACTCTAGGAGCCAAAGTACGTCGGCCATGTTTAATAGCAGTGCAGAGGAGAAACTGTGTGAATTCTGACCAGCAACATCTGCATCAGGTTTGTGCAAATATAATTTGGATCCATTTCTATTTGTGGATTGTTCAACTCTTCTCTAAATTGTTTGACCACACAGATGTCCTTAAACTATAATCTATGATTCAAATGGGCAATTAATTGAAGTGGAGATCTGGCTTTTTTATCTTAATAATTTGTATGGATAGAAGGATGGCAAACGTTTTGTGTTTGAGTGTGTTTTAGAGAGGCACCACAGATTGTGCAGTCTGCTGCGGTACTGAATGTGTTGTCTCGTAAAAAGAGTATTATTATGAAATGAAGACTCAAACCAAATGCGTAGTAATCCTCTTTTCTGAGAATAACAATGCTATTCTAAAATGGCACAGATTAACACAAACTTCAACGGTAAAATGGATGGAATTGGACGGAATTGCTGTTCAGTACTTCAGGGTGGAAACTTCATTGGCTGTGCTGCTTAATGATTCCCCAGCTGCTGTGTGTGTCTGTGTGTGTGTGTGTGTGTGTGTGTGTGTGTGTGTGTGTGTGTGTGTGTGTGTGTGTGTGTGTGTGTGTGTGTGTGTGTGTGTGTGTTTCCCCTTTTCCAGCACAGTCAGTCATTCATTCGGGTTAAGCAAACTGTAAAAGACAGTGTTGTTTGCGAGACAGACAGACAGACGGAGGGAGAGATGGACAGCAGAGCACAGAAATAGAGAAACAAAAGACATTATTTTTTACTGTATGTTAATCCCATTCAATGGATTTTGTCAATCCACAAGAATTCCACATCTATAGAAAAAGCAAAAGCAAAGTCCATAGTACTTTAATGGAGCGCTGAATGAATAACCCTTTGATTTAAAGCATACTGACACTGAAGGCTGAGCACAGAGGCACAGAGCTGAATGCTTAGGTGAGATTATTTAGTTTTCCAAAGCAGCACACAAATGCAGCGCTCTGTTTCTGTCGAAGGCCGCTGGCGTCACAGAGTTTGTAGACCGGATTAGCTGCATTGTCTTGTAATGTATGAATGATAAGGTCATATTTATTATTATACCCAGTATGAAGTAAATTGAAGTACCAGAAGCTTTGTCTGATTTCTGGAAATTGTGTCGTTACTCTGCACCCCGTAACGGTTAAGGCTGTAGCACAACAACACCCGGGTTTCTATTGTTGCAATTAAACACGACCAGAAAGAAGCGACTGTACAGCCCAAATCAAGTAAGCATTTGATTCACCCAAGGATGCAAATTAACGCAAATGGACTTCACTTTCGGTTGGTCTCTGCATCGACTGTGCAGAACTCAAAAACAGTGTTGAAAAGTTCTTTATTTTACCACTAGATGGCATCACATACTTTGAGTTGTCATGGGCTGACGCAATTGTCTGTCTCTCTCTGTGCAGATGTGTGTAACAGTACTGATTTGCCGGAGCTCGAGATTATCAGTTTATTGGAGGAACAGCTGCCCGTCTACAAGCTGAGGGCCGACACCATCTTCGGCTACGAACAAGATGATTGGCTGCACACGCCACTGGTGGACCCAAATTCTTCCCTCGACCTGACGACTGAACAGATAGAGGAGACCCTCAAATACTTTTGTAAGTAAATCACACACTGCAAATTCAGAGGATTTGGTGTAAATGTAGTGTCCAAATGTATTCTTAATATGATCACGAGGATTGTGGACATAAGAATTGTATTTGTTTTTTCCATAAATACAACTTGTCTTGCGGGTATCATCACTTTCTCAAATATTATCATTGGATGTTATTCATCTTTCCTGGGGATCGCCATGATAATAGAGCAGGTGTGTGAACAGGTGAAGGGCGTTTAGACTGACGAGGTGGGAGTGAGTGAAAAATAGAGTGAGGAGGGTGTGGAGCTGAACTGTGACACACACACAGGAAAATAATGAGAAAGCGAGACAGAGCGAGCCATCTTTCCATCTGTGTTGGTGCAACAGCTGACCATGGTTACCACAACAAACATACCCGCAGTGTATTTATGCACGCGTCTTCCTTCGTCTTATCAAACTAAAAGCTGCCTGGTGGTCGACGCTCACACCAGCTGTAAACCACGCACGCACGCACACACACACACACACACACGGCAAATTAAAAGCAGAGCAACGCTCACACAAAACACAGTAACTATTTTATATGTAGTTATCAAAGTGACTCATGGTTGAGTGTCTAAAAATAGATCGGTCTCATAAATAGGCTTTACTGAGAACTGTAGCTCCAGCCTGTTGCGTCGGGCTGACACGGTCTTGCTGTGACATTTATCACAGCCAGCCAGACTGAAGCAATGACAAGGTCGTGTTGCATAAGACACATTATTTGAGGTATTCTGCAATTGTTGTATGTATCATTAATATAGATTTTTCTGCTTCCTTGACTAGTTCTCATTCAGTTATCCTCATGCTGGAGATGTGTTTCTGTGGTGTGGTATCAACTGCTGAACTAGAGATGAGCATTCATGCATTCATCTCGTCACGCAGTGATTACTATAATCCGCTTTTCTCATCACTTAGTGTAGCTGCCCTCAACCGTTCGCAGGTCTTTCAAAACACTGCTGCCAGATTACTCACCGGGACTAATCGAGGGTCTCGCATCACCCCCTTTACTCCACTGGCTCCCTGTAGCTTTTAGGATACACTTTCTCAATCTCACTTACAGACCACTCCACGCGCAGGGCTCCCGCATATGAAACTGATCTTCTTCACACAGGTCTAATGGCCGAGGTCTTCTGTCTGTCCCTCGTACACGCCTTGAGACCCGTGGTGATCAAGGCTTTCAGGCAGTAGCTCCTAAATGGAATGCTCTGCCTGCACAGCAACGCCTTGTGGATTCTGTCAACGTATTCTCGCATCAGCTAAAAACGCCCCTCTTTAGACTGCTGTTTGTGTAACATCCTGAATCCTGCTCTTGAACTAAGTTTTTGACACTTTTATAATCTGTATTCGCATGTCTGTTATTTATTGGCCCTATGGTCATATTGTGTTCCTCTTTATGTTGAAATCCTGGCCTGTAAAGCACGTTGATCTTGTCCCGTGGAAAACGCTCTATAAATACCTTTTAATTATTTACGTCTCATTTTTATCTCAAATTGATGGCCTGGTATTGACACTCTGAGGGCTATATGAGGAATAGGGTCATATTAGTTTAATTTTGGTCATTAAAGTGTGTTCCACTGACGTCTACAGATGTGGTCTCTCCAGATGCAGTAGGTAACACTATTTATGTATATATTTACTACGCATCATTTAGACATCATTCAGGCATATTAAGACAATTTGCGCCCAGTAAGCATCGAGCATTGAGTCCTGCTTTAGCCAGATATATAACAATATACTGTCATTGAAAGGTTCTTATTTAGCAATTTTTGCCAATGACTCCACATTTTCCTCCCATGCACTGTGCATGTACTCATTCCGCCTCTCTCCAACTAAAAGGACCAATCCCTGAATGCCCGTCGTGCTCATTCGTTCTGGGGTTGCCACGTCACCTCTGCCAACACTGCACTGCTTTCCTGCTAACGGCTTCACATCGTGTGTCGGGCCTCTGGAGCCTGAGCCTGTTACTATAGTAACCTCACAGAAGGACAAAGTAGAGGAGAGCAGGGGGCGATGCTTACATACGAAGGGAGGGCGGGAGCAAGCTTGTGACACTCCTGCCCGTGATTGGCTGGAGGCATCCTCTAAGCCCCGCCCCCTTACCGTGTCATGATTAACATCCTTTCTGCTGCAAAACCCGTGACTGCTGCTGCTGCTCTCTCTCTCTGTATCGCTGTGCGTATTGAGTCATTGTTGGGGCTGCTGGGGTCCATGTGTAGAGCTTGTGCTGCCACTGAGCAAAGGATGTTACAAAAGAGGAGACCACTGTCATAGTATGACCTCAGAAAGGCTCCACCGGAGGATGGACTGACATGAAGATGAATTGACAGGAAGCTATAAATGGATGGAGACATTTCTGAAGCTTTGGAGTGACCGAAGGAAAGTAATAGAAAAGGAAGATGAGACCAAAGGACATCGAGACAGCAGAGAATTCCAACTGACACGTTTGCTCAAAAGGGCTAACGTTTTTTCAACTGACGACGCAAGCAACGCTTTTCTGGGATGACGTGCAGAATTGGCAGCAGCATCACAACAAATATGGAGCATAATACACTGACAGTTCGTAGTCAATGAGGGTGTAACAGAAGGGACATATGATAATGGGCAGATAGTCACTAATCCTGACTGTGTGCCAGCTGGTGGCTGCAAAGCATGCTGGGATAGCAGAAGTGGACACTGACTGGCTGCTCAACGGACAGTTCCGGTAACTAGTAAGATCCCAGCGACAAACTGGTTGTCTCAAAGCATGCTGGGACTTTTTCGTTGGCCAAAGATGTTGCAGCTACATATGCTGGGACACTGGACGATACACAGCTGTCTGTCAGAGCAGTGAGGATGAACAGGCGAGGCCCGACCAGAGGTCAGAGGTTTGTCAAGGCAGACTACTACGAGCTGGACTGGTACTATGAGGAGTGTACTGATGGTAAGACGAAAGTCTGCTACAGTTTTATGCAGTGACCTCTAGCTGTTGAAGAGTTGACTCTAACTACTAACGACACTGATGTTACTGGCTATGAATGGTAAGAGGTGGTTTTCTTATATACTAAAGTACTTTCAGTTGGTTAGTGGAACTGTGTTGTGGGCATAGTGAGAGATGCATAGAGATGGCTTTGGTGTATATGTGGTATACGGTAGCCATCCAGCGAGGGTATCAAAGCGAGCTGTCGGCCTACAGATTTTGAGCTCAATTTTTGTGAAACGTAGCAATGAAGGATTTTCAACTTAATTAATGGCGGTAAGTACTTTCTGTTTAATACGTTTGTAATCCCGCTTCATAGACATAAGAAGTACTTTAACAGGGCCATGTTGTAGCAACGTTTAATAACCAGGTTTTATAATGTGTCCTTACACACAAACTGAGATTAAAGGGAAGTGGTGGTAGGATTAAGTTGGATTTGTTCATATCAAACAAGCTCGGTGAAAACTGATGTTTATCCCCCTAAAAGTACATGTTTAATGTATTTCAACCAAACGCCTTGTGCAGCCATCTTTAACCGATTCCTTTTACTACATAGAATGTGACTTTGTGGAATAATATTCATAACTGAAGAAAATACCAAGACCGTTTCAGTAAGACACAGCAGCTCTAACGCTGTAGCTCAGCAGGCAGTGGCTGCCGGATACAGTAGGTGTTGTAGCAGTGGTGTGTGGCAGCTGAGTGGCTTCTAAATGAGGCCCACAGAGAGGCCTCCAGTACAGGACGAGATGTGGCTGGATGTGTAGGCAGTGGGAGCTGGTCGGTCGGGATTCCTCTAAATGAGGATGCAATGAGGGCAGTATTGTTTTGCAAATTTCAGCCAACTGTTTATTACAGCTGCTAAAAAAAGGGAAATACCCGCTGAACCGGAGAGACTCGCAGGAAGTCCTCAGCGGCAAAAAATGTTTATTTTGAGAAGAGCTGTGTAATAAAGATATTGACCGCTGGTAGAATGTCTAAGTGAGTGAGTACCTGAATGAAAGGAAGCAAAGTTATTCGAGAAAGAGTCAATTCTGTTTTAAATTCTGCAGCCCAGCTTCTTACAACTGAGTTGCAGCCCTATGTAATGTGTGTGTGTGTGTGTGTGTGTATAACATAGATACAGATTGATACGTACACAATTAATATCAGAGGAGGATTGATGATGCCTGTTCATGTGACGTGAGACTAATGGCACATCATCCATTTGATTGGTTGATGGCAGGTCTGTTGGCGCTGCCCCTCGCTCTTCCTCCCTCCTCCTCGTCTGTGTCACTCTTCTCTTATAAAGACGCCTTGGTTTGGTGCCAATGTGCTCTGTAATCCATGTCACTTCAAGTACCTTCCATTTGGACACAGGTGAATTTTTGTGAATTTGAGTAATCTGAGCATTTAATGTTAGGTTAGATGGGATATGGGGCGGGGGGGGGGGATCCCAGTATTGTTATGTGCACTATGTTGTGCGTGTTGGGCAGAGGAGCTCGTAAAGATCGATACATAACAGTCTAAACCGCTCAGCCCCTCCCCCAAGTGAGCTGGTGCAGTTTAAACATCTGGAATATCATTTAGCCGTGGCATCTAACCCACGGTTGAGTTTTTATTTTTACAACTGCACTTGATGATGAAACAATCAAATATCCAAATGCTCGTTGAGCTTCTTTGACAAACCTACGTGTTGAATGGGGCACAAATAGAAAGCAGCTGGTTTAGAGTTATTCTGAGATGTGGAAGTAGGCTAGCTTATATTTAGCGCATGCCACCATTATTGATAGCAGCCTGCCAAATGTTCTTTGGCAATTTTAGCAGCCTTTAATACAAAAGGTTTGGATGGAGGGAAACAAGGGCAGAGGGCGAGCTGTCCCCCCGCTGTGGATGAGACCGGCTGGAGGGATAAATCTAGTAGGAATGAAACCGGGAGACAAAACATGGATTCTTTTCTTACAATATTATTTTTCGAAAACCATTGAAAACAAATGTTGTATTCTATACAGATAAAATCTTTTAACGTTATAATTTATTCCCTTAAATTCTGCACGTTTGCATTTGATATTAGAGTCTAAACTATGGAAGAGCATTGGATTCACAAAAGAAAATAGTAGTTAGTAGTTATGAAACCTTTACAATTTCTTCCTCAAATTAGGAGACACTAACAAAAATAGGGTGAATTTTTTTTGTTATCTATTATGTGCGAATGCAGTGCGCTCCTGTACCAAACTTAACACCTACAATTTGGTTTTAGAAGTTGTGTTTTAATGAGAAATGACCTGCTGTACTATAGAAAGTGTTTAACTCTTAACAGCAAGTAAGAAGTTCACTGGCCTGTTGCCCCCCAATTCCGTCCTTCCTCCAAAATCCGTAGTGAATTGTAGATATAAGCAGCTTGAAGGACACAGATCCAGTAAATAAACAAATAAACAGAGATTGTTGTTGTAGCAAAAAGGATTTCTTGACTGTTTTATATCTGCAACTGTCTGTAGTGTTGTTTGTGTAAATTCTTTCAAATAACTGCACAAAGCAGGAGGCTTTACAAACAAATGAGGGGAAAAGCGGGCGAATGAATGAAAAACGAGTGGAGTGTAAAAAGTGAATACGACAATGGGAGGGAAAACCGCGCTTCGAGGTAGCGAGCGTTGTTTTTCCAGGTCTCCTTTGTTGCCTGCAGCACTGAATCCATGACAGCATTGAGTGGAGTTACTCAAGCAGGCAGGACGGTACTGAGATGACATCAGTTCACTGGAGCAATTACAGCAATTATAACACAGAGCAGTGACTAATGAGCAGAAAAGTGGGCTGCTTTGATGCTTCCATGGTCTTTGATGGTCGGGTCTACCTGGCCAAAATGAGCTCAGCTCACATGAACATGTGACATTTTTAAACAGTATGCACATTTCTTCTCTTTTTATATTTTGAGGTTAAACAGAAAAGTTTGAAAAATATGCAGTTTTACATCACGGTTACATTACAATTTATTGAATTGACCTGCATGCAGGACGAATTATTCAAAGTAAAGAAAGGCTCAAATCTGGAAAGTTTAAGACGATGAAGTCTCTCAACTTTAACGGTTAAATGTAATAAACAAAATATGCAGCAGTGTTAAATTGTGTGTTGGTCCTACCGTGACTTTGCTCTAATACTTTTAAACATTAAACATTTGTGGGTATGGAGGCAGGCTCCTGGTTTTGAAGTTTGGCATTGGTCTTGTTCTTTTGCATCCGTTTCTATGCTGGTTTTTAGAAAATTAACTTGAAATATTTTATCACTGTATTTTACTGCTTTACATTATTTCCTTGCAAAGAACGATTGGGAAGGCAAAAAGGCTTGTCCATTAAAATGACTACAGTTTGGTGCATATTAAAACTTGCATTGAAAATGCTTTTTATTCGCTTGGAGCCCTTCCAGCCAAAGTGAGGCTTGTTATGCTGTAAACCTTATCGCAGAGGTCGGGGGTTTAACATTCACCTATAGGTGGTTTCACTGAGACCGGCACGCCCTGGAAGCAAGTTATTGTTTGATTGTCTCCATAGTGGCAGAACTGGAATGTACCAACTCGCTTTCACCGGAGGGGGGGTTGGAAAAGCAGTCAGTAGTTAAAGCCTTTATGAACCGGATGTCTCTCTCAGCTCTGATTTGCTCCTGTTGGTTTCAGCCTGAACCATTTCCTTTTAAGTGAAAAAATTGATTAATTGAGGATTATTTTTAATGCTTTCCTGTGCTATCTGAAATGTATTTTAAGATGTGCCTCCTCCATACAGTAGGCGTCTGTGTCCACCCCTCTCCGGGGTGAAGTGTAACAGGCCATTCACTGACCAGTCACACAGGAGCCGAGGAGGAGTCTGCTAATCGGGTTGTCTCTCAGAGCCACCTCAAGGGACAACTGATACACACACTTTGAGAAACTCACTCTGCTGACATTAGTTGGTACTCGACAGATGCACACAGACATACTTTGCCAGTCATGTACAATGGAGTGATGAGAGAGAGACAGGCTGTGTGCACTACGGTCATCTACTGTCCTCTGGGGAACGAACACGTCGTTCGATGTGTGGTTTCACATGTAGGCGCACACAGAGCAGGTATTGATTCTTAGATGGACTCACAGATGCACACAGCCTAAGTAGGAGCCATGGAGTTGGGGTCCCGTGGATGGTCTTAGTTGCAAAGTGGAGGATGGCACTGCTCACTGCAGCCGAGGACGAGCTGGAGTACTCCAACCAGCCAGAGGAGGATGAGGAATATGTTTGTCTACCCATTCATGAAAGCACCGTGCAGGAAGAAGAGCAGTATGTCTGTTTTCCCTCACAAGGAAACACAGAGCAGCTGCAGCCACAGGAGGAGGAAGAACAAATTGATGAAGAGCAACAGGTTCTGTGGGAAGGTAGACGTCTTTGTAATCAGGGCATCATCATCGCTAGTCTGCGTGCGCCCGCTCGCTGAGTGTATCTGACCTTCGGCGGCGAGATTCATTTAATACTGTAATGAAGGAGTGTGTTGGATACCTGTGAATTGCGTGTGTGGACTGTGGCTTCAGCCTGCAGGTGACGTCTTTGTTAGTAAAGGTCTCAGCACAGCATGGTCCGGTTACCCGCTAGTCTGACATGTTCAAACATGGGCTTGGCCCATCATGCCAGCATGCTTTTTCAAAGTTGTTTAAGAATACACAAAGCTATCTGATGACTGTTTAGTTCTTTAGATTGTGTTTAGTCGCTTTGAAATCAACTGCTTAATTGCTTTGGGATTTATTCAGGATAGTTGAGCCACAATCCTGAATTTCTCGCAGAGAGACTGAGGTCGATGTGTTCATAAACCGAGGACCAAGCGGTATCTTGTCCTGCTGGCCGTGGGGGGTGTGAAGGGGCGTGGGGGCGCGTGGCTGTAAACTGATGTAGTTAACTGTTATGTGATGGAGACGTCTGGCTCCTTCAGACGGAGAACGGATAATGGATCATTGTTGAGCTTTAACTACATTTCAACTCAGCACTCAAACATATCTATTAATCCATAGTTGCTGATGGTTGTGGGTAGTAAAGACTTGACATTGAACTTCTTCTTTAGAAAGAAAGAAGGGGACAGATAGAGAGTGTGTCAGTCTTGAGTTACATGCTCTCCGTATAAAACGCAGAGACAACATCCAGATCACATTCCAATATTAAGTTACACCTCCTTTTACGTTACCCAGGTTACAGCGGCGTTCTGCGACATCCGTCTTGACCTTTTCTCCCACCCCGCATTCATGACCGAAGTGGCCACGGATCACAGCTGTGTTGTCCTTTTAACCTGTATGTGTGTGTGTGTGTGTGTGTGTCTGACAACTCTGTTTGTTTTCACAACGAGAGGTGAAGACAAATTGTCCACTGTCATTAGCAAGTTTCCAATAGTTATTTTGAGTAATGTGCACTGACCATGCCAATAAACCTGCATATTTGTCTATATAAAACGCACCACAGGTAAACCGGCTGCACCCTGGGCTATCAAGGTTTTTTTTCACATTCAGCTTATCAACATGCTTATCAACATGCGGGTGTTTTCCCCCAGTAACAATATGTGCCACAAGAAAAAAGAAGGTTATGTGTGTGGATGTTGGGTTTGCAGAATGACCCGTTAGTGCCACGAACAAATACCGAAGAGATTCGGTGCAAAAGCAAATGCCAGGATACTAACATGGAAACCTAGTAAACATTACACTTGCTAAAAGGCAGCATTTTGTTGTCGTACAAACCCGCTATCATGTGCAAAATGTATGAAAAACACATTTTAGTGCCCTTATTTAATCAAACAAAATACCTCGGTCAAGCTGCCCAGTGTCACATACTCATTTCTCCTTGTCAGCTGGAAAAGGGAAATGTAATTTAACAATATATAATCATGGACGTGAAACAGCCATCTAAGCCCTAGAGTCTAGCAGCCTGACGCTATCTGGTCGGTGAGGTATGAGCATATGGAAATGTACGGTTTGCATTGGCTAACTCTGTTTTGCATTGTAGGAGGACAGAATGCCTCTTTTACAGCCCTATTGTGTAAGATACCTGGTTTGACTGGCCCTTCTTAACTGGAATAAAATCAGACAGTTAAATTGCCGTATCATATTAACTTACTGTATGACACATCAGGCAATGTCGGACGTTACACCTTCTGACGGCGCAGAATCACACGCCTCCTCTCTCCAGCAGTGTTAGAAGTGACTAACAGGACTGATTACCGGTAAGAGTAAATATGCTCATACCAATAGATTACGGGCACCTGGAGCCAGGGTACATGTCCATCTACATGCAACTTCAGAAAAACTCAAACACATTATCAAATTCATTTATGAAACTTTTCTCTCTCGAGCAGCAGAGGAAATTGTTGTTTTGAACAGAAGGCCTCCAATGGAGGAGGCAGCACCAGACAGAGGCTTCCACAGTTACCTGTGATAGATTACAAGTCAATAAATAAATAATGTTGTTTGATTAAGTGACATAAAGTTCAAGCTTTGTACAAAGGAGTTGATGATGATCGTGCAGGTGTGGTTCCTCTCTGTCTTTACCCTTAACCTATGAAAAGTGGGTGTATGATGTATGTGAGAAGGTACCTCTTAAGAACTTGATAGGATTCATTCATCAACGTAGAACAGGGACGTGGATAATAGGTAAAAAAAACCTGCTGTTTATTTTTAATCTTGTTTGAGTTCATGAGCTATAGTTAAGACTCAGATGACAATAATACGTGAGAGAAATCTCACAAGATCACAAATGGAATACACAGTTCATTATTTCTTTGTCCTTTTTACTGAGTGAATTGCCTGCCTGGTTGTTTTCCTTTGGGGTTTTTGTATTGAGACCTCTGTGCGTTTCTCTTTGTGTCTGTGCAGTATTGTGTGCTGACCGAGTGGGCCAGATGACGAAGACCTACAGTGACATTGATGCCGTCACTCGACTGTTGGAGGAGGTAAGATCAAGTCAAAGCCCCTAAATTAGAAAAAACACAACGGACTACAGCACAGACTGTGACGCACTTAAGTCAAATATTCCGGTGTGGGCTGATAGTCCGAGCACACGTTTCTCCATAAAGTTCATGGCACCATGTAATAAAACCAGCTGGTGGCCTATGATATTCAAAACTGAGTGATCCACATCTGCTGCTGGGGAGAAGCTCAGTCGGCTTTCTCTGTATAACTAAAAGCTGTAAAAAATACAATGGTGAAATTGTTAAATGACCTGTGAAATTCAGCAGCCAGCCATCCAACTACCGACTAACCATGGTATCCAGAGATGTCCCACCATCACCAAACTGTTTTCACCCTGCGAGACATTGCTGTACTGACCTCTCTATCTGGGAGAAGTTAACTTCCTTTAATTGACAGTGAATTAATATTCACTATTTAGAGTTTAGTTAAACCAAGCCGAACAAAAATCGAAATTGGGTGTAGACCGAAAACGTGTGAACTTGCCTTCTGCAAACATGACTTGACAGCCGGACTGATTGATTGCACCAAGACGTGCAGAAAAACTGGAGCGCCTGTCAATCATTCGTGCGGATTGATAATGAGCTCTTAATTACAGTAGTTGAGTTGTGGGAGTGCTCGGGTGATGCTGTGGCTTTGCCCTTGTGAGAGATTTGGGCTGCTGTGAGTAATAGGAGGTTGAAGTATTAAGTGTTCTTGTTCAAACACACACGTCCTTGTCCTTTAGTAATGTGTGGACATTGTTTCTCTCTTTCATTACACCCTTTACAAACTTCTTGAGGCGTTATTGTGTACGTTTTACACATTCCACATTACTCCCAGATAACATATTTACAATGCAGTAATTTCAAAGGAATGGTTCAGCATTTTAGAAATCCCACATAATTGCTTTCTTACGGCAAAAGAAAAGATACTCTTGCATAATGTAAAGTCGGAATATGTTATGAGGGCCAGCAGCTAGTTAGCTTAGCGTAAATACTGGGGAAGGGGAAACTGCCCTGCACAGCTCCAAAGATAAGAGTCCGTCCTCTTATCCAGCTCATGGCAAGAAATTAAATGGGCGTAAAATATCCTGAAAAGAAAAATGATTTGTTTAATACCTGTTATGTTATCGAATGCGCTGTGAACACAAAAAAAAACCCCGTTCTTGTTGCAGAAAGAGCGCGACTTGGAGTTAGCAGCTCGCATCGGACAGTCACTGCTGAAGAAAAACAAAGCTCTCAGTGAGAAGAACGAGCTGCTGGAGGAGCAAGTAGAGCACATACGAGAGGAGGTGTGTGTGTGTGTGGTTCTGTATCAGATGTGACTGTTTTGGGGAAATGTCTTCAACTACTTGTTGTGCAAGTCATGGATCATCTATGACTTGCACAACATGTAATGTCCTCCTTGGGTTTGGAGGACCAGCTTCTCTTCTTTTACTTTAACATACTTATGTCTCCATGCTGCCTTCATTGTTTCCACATATAGGTGTCTCAGTTGCGTCACGACTTGTCCATGAAAGATGAGCTGTTGCAGTTCTATACCAGTGCTGCTGAGGAAAGTGAGGGGGAGTCGATCACCTCCACACCGTGAGTCTCCTTTCATTCACCGCTTCTCTCTGTTAAATAGCATTCCACACGATTTTTATAGCATAATGACAGGATGATGGGCTGACCAGCTGATTCACACGTTTCCCTCTCGTGTGCGTTCGCAGCGTGCGCCCCAGTGAGAACAATGTGTCAACTCCAATTTCTTTCCCCCTGGACTCCTTGCAGAAGAAACTCAAAGATCTGGAGGAAGAAAACAAATCATTGCGATCTGAGGTACACGCACACATTTACAAATAAGCTCCTGCAAACGCGTACAGTATTACATTTTTTTAAAGAAACCACATCTCTGCCTTTTAAAATCTTTATATTGAGTACAGTAATGATGAAATCCCATGTAATGATGCAGGGACCACAGATGCAAACAAGCTAAAGCTATAATCTGGTACAGTTCATTGAATGGTGACATTGATGTTTTAACTGTACATGGTTCCTTCTTAATGAAATAAATCATCAGATTGCTATTAGTGATAATAATTTTATTTACGTGGGACAGTGCACATTAATCAATATTGATGTCAACAACATCATCTGAGTTGATATCTGATTTTATTATTTCAATTACAATATAGTTGAAGCATGCTTTTCTGGATATCTCTATGGAAAGTTATTAATTGGGGTGATTTAATAATGACTACGGTATTGATGAGTATTGTTTTTTTTTTTTATCAGGCCAGTCATTTGGAGACAGAAACAATCTCATATGAGGAGAAGGAGCTGCAACTTGTCAATGACTGTGTTAAAGAACTACGTGAGTATTTGACTGACTGATATATTGTTCTTAATGTTGCATTTTCTCAATCACTGTGTGTGTGCCTCTCTAAAGGCAGTAGGGCAATAGAGAGACGGGTAGTTTTTTGCAGGTAGTCACTTTTTATGTTTCCAGGTGATGCCAACGTGCAGATGTCCTCTCTGGCTGAAGAGCTTGCCAGAAAGACCGAGGACGCCTCCAGACAGCAGGAGGAGATCACACACCTCCTCTCCCAGATAGTAGACCTGCAGAAGAAAGCCAAGATGGTAGAAAACCCCCGGCAAATTTTATACTAATAATATAAAATACCAGCTCTGATGAATATGTTGGTTATTTTGATTTTGTCTCAACAATGCCCGTGTGCAACTAGACTAAACAGTGTTTTTCATATCCTATTTTGTCTTTGCTGTTTGCAGTATGCTGTGGAAAACGAGGAGCTGACTCAGCACTTGGGTGCAGCCAAAGACGCCCAGCGACAACTCACTGCTGAAGTAAGGCAATCCACGACTCGCTGACTAGCCACACTAAAAATCATTAAATGGTGATATGGTGCGGCCATTAAAAACCCATTTGAGGCCATCATATAACAATTTCAGCGATGTTGTGTGGTCCAATGTGCAAACTAGAAGGTTTTCTGGACAAAGCTGGTCAAAACCTTTTCTTTCAAGTTTCAAGTGATTTCTTTCAATTCTGAATTTATTTTTACATTTCCTACTATATTATCACTCTCAATCTGTCTTTTCCCTTCCTCCAGTTGCAAGAGTTACAAGATAAGTATGCAGAGTGCATGGAGATGCTTCATGAGGCTCAGGAGGAGCTGAAGAACCTGAGGAATAAAACTCTACCACTCAGCACACCGAGGCGTTTCCATTCTCTGGGTCTGTTCCCAATGGTGAGCTCACTTCCACTCACCAGCCTGTCAGTAACAGAACATTTACCCGATCACGGTTGCTAAAAAATCCTTTTACCTGCTTCTCCAGGACTCTCTGGCCGCAGAAATAGAGGGCACCATGAGGAAGGAACTTCAGATGGATGATCCGGACGTAGAAGAGCAGAGGTACACACAGTTGTGAGCTTGGCCCACCCTATAATGAAAACAAGGACAACGGGTTTTCAATGATTAACTTCATGCTGTAATAGACGGTGTTTATTATATGAAGACTATCCATTCAATAAATCTCCATATATATTTGTTCGTATTTCTTCAGGCTGCAACCCAAGCGAGTGTTTCAGACAGTAAAGAACCTGAACCTGATGCGCCAGCAGCGTTCATCGCTGGCCCCGTCCCCCCTCAACATCCCGGGCTCCAATCAGACGTCATGCCTCACCTCAGGGCTCTGCAGCAGGGTGGGCACGCCGCGCTCCAACTCCATATATGGTAGTGACGCAGGAAGTGGGATCATCCTGGACAACAGGACTAGCAGTATCCTGGAGGGTCGGGACGATTGGTATGGACTGACGGATTTTTAAGATGTTCGGTTCCTTCTTTGCCATTCTGCACTGTTTAATCACCAATGGCTAAGGGGATACCACTCACCTTTTGTAGTTTTGTGTTTGTTGGTAACCCTGATGTTAGTGTGTTTGGTGCCTGGTAACTCTTCAACTTTCAGTCATTAGCTCCTTTTTTATTGTTATCTTGAACAACGAAGAGCAACTGAGAGAGAGAGAGACTGAAACCAATCAATTACAACTATGCGCCCTCTCCAGGTCAGAGGACTCCAACAAGCGGCCCCCTGGTACCCCGGGGACCCCCGGCAGCAGGGACCTGGAGGCAGCCCTGCGACGGCTGTCCCTCCGCCGCGACAACTACCTCTCAGAGAAGCGCTTCTTCGAGGATGAGAGGGAGAGAAAGCTGGCTTATTTGGCCAAAGAGGAACAGAGGGGCGAGGAGGGGAGTAGTGGGGGTCCCGGGACACCGACAGAGAGCCTGCTGTCGCTGTGTTCGCATCCCTCCCTCGGAAGCGCCTGGTCGGGGTACTCCATGTCGGCCAGATCCTACCTGCCGGATAAGCTGCAAATTGTAAAGCCGCTAGAAGGTGATTATTCCGCTCAGAGACGCAAGTCCTCACTTTCTGCACACAATGAAAAAGGGAGTCAAAGTCAGAGCGACTTGCCCAGTGAACATTCTAAGACCCCTCAACAGAATCAGAACCATAGCGTGGCACAAAACGCAAATGGTGAATTTCTAAACACAAGTCAAGCCCCGATGAGCCAGACCCAATCGCAGAGCAAAGCCCTTCACAACCAGCAGCAGAATCAATATCGAATTCTTCATCACCACAGTCAGTCCAAACTCTTTCTGAGTGCCTCCCAGGATCCTGAGACCCTGCAGAGGAGCTTCAGCTTGTTGGAGCTGAGCGGCCAGCAGAGCTCGCAGCCCCACATCAGAGCTCCGCTGGCTTTAGTCCCATGCCTGCTGGGGGTGGTGGAGCAACAGGAAGGCAGTTTAAATCCCCAGCACTCTTTTTACTTCAGGCACACACGGCCACGCTGCTGGTTTGAAGTATAGAATATTAGCCAGTTTGTCTAAAAGCCAATAGCTTAACAATTTACAAATAGTTGTAGTTTTCAAAGTGGACTTATATATTTTCTTGCATTTGAGAAATTAAGATAGCACAAAAGGATATAGATATTGGATAATCTCCTGCAATGTCAGGACAATTTGAGAGCAATTACCCCAGTTTTACAGTTATCCCAAACACGCCACACAAGGTGTGCTTTCTACACGGTTATGTTGTTTGTTTTGCAGTGACTGATTAACTGTGTGGTACTTTTAAATGTCAGTTTACATTTACCTTATTTTTGATCAGAGATATTTAACTATCCAATGATTAATTATATAAGTACTGTATTGTTTGTGAAATTTGTAGAGTTTAACTGTATATTTGTCAGATATTTACTGTTATTTAGTTTGCGAATGACTAGCTAAGAGATGCTGCAGAATGCTGTTACGGTGTGTGGCCCCACCTAGTGTTCAAACCGAGTCACTGCACTCGCTGCTCAGTCTCAGTGTGTGTGGTTCATTCCAGGTCTAATGATGGTTGGTTAAGATATTAGAAAATGATCCAGAATCTTTTATTTATTTATTTTATTTATTGTTACCTATGATTATGACAAAGTACCTTTTTAGAATATCATCATCATTATAACATGTATCCCTTAAAGTCAAAAGAACAAGACATGAATTGTTCTGACAGGATTCTCATCGTAGGAGCCTTTAAAGTAGAGCAACCAATCCACAGATTACTGCGATACTATTTCATGTGCTATCCATCTCTTTCACACCTCTCTACTTCCTCTTTTATTTTCCTCATTTATGTTTTGTCACATCTTTTTCCCTTCTTTCTGTTCAATCTGTCTGTTTTCTTTATTGATGATTCCCTTAATAAATCCTACTATTTTTTTTACCTTTCCTTTTCTCCCATCCTGTTTGTGTTAGTAGTATTAGTTTATATACTGACATCTCTCAAAATACCTTCGGGTATAACGAGAAAACAACCATTCATTGGACTGGAACTTTACTGCTGGTCAACAAGGTCATTGTAAATGCCGTACAGACCCTATTTACTGCATGAAAGTAAGCACATATGTGGGTTTGCCGGTCTGTGTGAGTACGTGCATGTGTGACATGGATGGAGTGACTTGTGTTATATACAAGTAGTTGCTTATAATATATTTGATCATTTTTTACACATACAAACGTATAAATGAACAGATTTGTCTACTTAATACTAGAGTACTTTTTACAGACTTATCACTTTGTAAGTATCGTTCTTTGAAGTAGGCCTGTGATGGAGTACAGCAGCGGTGTCTCCTCCTTAAATTTAGCACAATCTCCCTTAAAAAAGCAGTCAGGTGACTTGTGAACGGACCAATTGTATACCAACACAACAACTTTTAGATACCATTTACAGTGAGATATAAGATGTATAAGAACATCTGAAGACAGATTTGAGATAACATGAGTTTTTCTCTGACCCTTTTCTCTAGGCTCTGCCACTCTCCATGCGTGGCAGCTGTTGGCTCAGCCCCACATGGGGGCTCTGCTGGATCACCGGCCCGGTGTGGTCACAAAGGGCTTTCGCACTTTAGACCTCGAGCAGGAACAAGAAGATCACTGGCACCTGGACCAACCGGAGGAGGACGAAGTCTCCTGCGACTCATTCACTGGCTTGTCAGGAGAGAGCTCGGCTCCTGTGGATCGGCCCCGCTCTACCTCTTCTCCTGTGTGCTGCAACAAGAACAGAGACGTGGACGACAATAGCCGACTAGAAACAATGCAAGGGAACATGTGCACAGCCAGAGAAGGGATTCTTGCAAAGGATGGACATGTTGAAAAGCTACCGCTTTCCTTCTCTTGCCTCTCTCCTTCTTCTCCTCTCCCCTCGTCTTCTGAGATGAACGGGCACGTGGACCTCAAGGAGCTCCAGGACCGTATGCCTGGTGAGGGAGCACTTAGCTGAGGGTCATTGCACTGCATCCACCTACCCTCACCCCGGAGCATTGGGATAAAGGGGGGAGAGAGGGAGGGGTTGATGGGGAGGGGACTTGAAAGCATTTGCAGGACATCTTACAACCCCAAAGTGACGTCCCTTCCTGCCCGATCACGCTCATGTGCACACACCTGCACATCCACCCATCCCTCCCGGCAGGCCTTGTGCGTGCGCAGCCATCGAACCCCATCACAACAAAGTACATGTTTTTTTTGTTGATTTATTCACTTCAACTTACATGTGAAGAGTCTTCCTTCTCATTTCCCGCTTTCTTTCGGTGCCACACTTAACCCAACCCTAACCCGATCACACTTCCAATCCAATCCTTCACCTCAGCTATCCTCTTCAACAAGTCTACCGTTCCGGCAGTCACAGTAATTCACTCCTTCCAGTTCAATCCAGTTTACCACACACCCGCATGCACACAGAAATAGCAGAGCATGGGTCCGCGGCGCGGCCACGAACGTGAATATCAGGTGTTATTCATGCAGCTGTCCGAGTCACATGAACACTTGACAACCGTGGCTGGTTAATATTGGAGTTGACCTGACTTGTACGGTCACCTTCATCTACACGTGATAGGATTTTATTTATGGATTGCAGATGTAAACGGTGTTAAAGTGAGAACATTCGTTTCCTGCATACTGAAGTCAAGAACACGGGACTTGTGAATAAACAAAAAGAAATCTTAAAATCGCCAAAAATCACCACAAAAGGAATTCGAAACACCCACACCAAAATACAAGAACCATTTAATGGCTGCATTAATATTGTAACTGACATTATAATTTTAAGGCCTTTTTCAGTTTTAGTCTGTTCCATAACATTACTACAGTGTTTTACTCAATACGCTTAACATGAACACGGGGAGTAGTGCTGAGAATGTAATATCTTTTTCTACATATTCTTCCCTCAAAATCCTCACTACCAAAATTAGTTTAGAGGGGATGCATTACGGATAATCTCATTTTGATAGTAATTGTCAAAACCATTACAAAAGATATTGGCAAAATGGCAACGATGATACGAGAACTTTCTTTAAACAGTCTGCATATGCATTTATAATCCTATAGTCAATTGGCCCTAAAGGGGTCCTTATAATTATAGAAATACCCATTATGCAGCACCTCATGCCACTCAAAAGACATTTTCAATACTTGTTAAATGCAAATATAATAGAAAACATAAGGCTAAATGTAAAGTTTCTTGTTTGGGAACAACAGTCAGACCATATGAAGTCTGACATTTCTTCAAGCAGTAGGAGTTTGTAAATTCAAGTCGACATCTTCCAAAGCCGAAGTCTGTTAGATTCAAACTGCTTGTATGAACAGTATGAACCGGCCGTGAATGGAGCAGTCATTGAGAGCAACAAAATTTAAGAAATGTTAAAATGCCTCATTCTCGTTGCCCACAGTGCACACCCCATCATTGCTTCACTTAGAAATCAGGCAGCTGATCAATGCTGGTGCTTTTTCTTGGTGCTCATTCTGTAATAATGATCTATTCTTTTCTCCACTTTGTGTGCAGTATTTTTTGTAGTGTTGCCTGGTGCCTCTTGTCACAGGACTAACAGCCTTTGCCTCTGTTCTCTTCTCCTCTCCTTTAGTCCATTTCCCAGGCAAGAGTATGTCTAACACCAGCTCTACATACACCTACACCACCTGCAGGATTCTCCACCCTTCTGATCAGCTGACCTCTGTGTCCCCAAGGTAAACATCATCAATATCAGAGTACCTTTTATTACTGATCACTTTATCGTACAATTCTGGTATTTATTTAATGTAAACATTGGAAGCCTTACGTAGGAAAGGAATGACGGCTTACCGTCGTAACAGCTGATGAAGTACAGTGTTACCCGAACAGAATCCCCACTGTTCTCTGTGAATAAACTGCTTCTCGGCCAGGGCTACTGGCTGACTTCATACTCTCTGTATCCCTGCCGTCTGATTGGCCCTGGCAGGTCATGTGATGAGGAAGATGAAGTGGAGTTGTATCATGTGGTTGTCATGGCCGGATTAGAGCACGCCCATTGAGTGTCTCCACTGGGCCTGTACATGGGTGAGGCAATGCATGGGAGTGCATTGCTAAAGACTGTGTGTGTAAACCACAATAACACAAGCGATTTCTCCCAAATCCCCAAATAGTCACATCACTTTAAACGTGTCCCCAACTAACCATTGAGCTTCTGATGCAGTGCTGCGACTCCAATCATCTGATCAAATCTTAACTCGGTCCAGATCTAAGCATGGATGCTCATTCTTGCCGTTGTGAAAACCGTGTGATTGGATTGGACAACGTCAAGCATGGTGTTATGTAACTTTGTTCTGGTCACATGGTCAGTTGAACAAGAGGTCGTACACGTGGTTGGATATTTGATGCCCTGTCTGAATTCAAAGCAGCCCCAGCAATCCAATGTCAGGGAGGCAGCAGCTACGACAAGCCATTGCTGGTGCGCCCACTGTGGGTCAGGAACCAGGAGACTCCGCTAAGCCCCGGAGACAGACGGCAGCAACAAAAAACTGTTCCCAGCACTTAATGGAGGAAGATGATTGGCATCAGAGACCAAAGGTCTTCTTCGATTCAAGATGATCATGATATCCTCCATGTGTACGACCATTCTGCTCCCATGAAGCAGATAGAGGTCACGTGACCTGTCAAGTGTTTTGCTCTTATAATTGACTCTCTGTGTGATAAACTCTGTTAAATGGTGTAACTGTGTCTGTATTCCTTGAGGCACCTGGAGGGTATTGTCATTTTTAAATAAATGTGTTAGTCACTAACAGCCCGACCCTCTGACGAATAACATTTCAAACAATGAATGAGTGGTTTTACGCTGACTTAGATGAGGCCTAAATGGTCTAAATAGGAGAAAGGCTCAGTTCCTGCATGGATATGTTCACGGGCGTTTCCTAATATAGATGCTTAATTGTCCCTTAAAGCTGAGTGAAAGTGACTTGATAACTCATGTCTGCTCATTTCTGTCCCATCATCCATACTGTTCCTCATGCTCCCTCTCTGTCCACTACTTCCTCCCTCTCCGCTACACGCCCTCCCTCCGCCTCCCCCTCCTCCTCCTCCAGCTCCGCTCTAGCCTCTTGCCAGAGCAGCGCTTGCTTCGCCCCCCCTACGCCCACCTGCTCCCCTGTTCCCTTCTCTGGCTCGCCTACACCTTCCTACACCCCCTGCTGCACCCCGCGCCGCCTCTCCCTCTCCCTCTCACTAGCGGAGTCCTCCACCAACCTCAGGGACTCCACCAAGACCACCAGCACCTCATTAGGCCTGGTGCGCCTCCTGCTGGAGAACGGGATTTCTGCCTCGGTGTATGACCCTCGCAGCTGGGACCGAGGGTTGGATGCGAGCGGAGCTTCGACGCCCGCGGGAGGAGCGCAAGTTCGGAGGAGCGTCGGCGTCCCGGAGGAGACCGAACACAGGCGGCTGGTGAAGCGCCCGGACACCCTCCTCCTGCGGGCCTCCACGCCCCCGGACTCGCCTCGCTCCAAAGCCGCCGCCGCCGCCGCCTTCACCACCGACCACCTGCTCTTTCAGTTCAGCCCTTCCGCTGACGACCCGCCGTTCTACGACACCTTCCTCGCCTCTAAGCCGGCTCGGACGATTCTGAGGGAAGTGCTCGGGGAGGCGGAGAGGGAGCAGACGGATGACGACGGCCAAACGGAGAAGCTCAACCTGCGACTTGTGGACAAACTGAAACGCTTCCGCACCCTCTCCTCTCGCGCTGGTCCCGGGGCGCCCGGGAGCACTCTCATAGCCCCCTTTGGGACTTCCGCACTGGGGAACAGCGCACTGGGTGGGGGGCTCCCGGGGCTCAGGAGGAATCGAAGCTATCCTGCCATGGTTGGGGCCAGTATGGCTATGAAAGACCCGGGAGGCCCCCCAAGCACAGAGATGGTCATACCACATGCATCACAAACCCCACAGACACAACAAACAGTGCGCACAAGTCACACGCCGGCCTCGCACCCACCACAGACGAGACATGAACTGGAAACGGCCCATTTGGTAGAACAGAGACGCAGCAGGCCCAGAGACGGGCTGTGGTGTTTAACAAGCAATGACCAACACAGCGATGATGATGATGATGATGATGAAATGGGGACATAATGGGAGTTATGCATATTAGCTTGAATTAAAACACACCAAAACACGTAGGGCATTGCACTTGTGCGGACGTGACAAAACAAAGACCCCAGTGACTCTACAGACGTCTTTCAGTTATCCACAGAACAGGACTCAACCAAACCAAAATGCATCGCTCATAGTCCAGACTCCAGTGGTGGCTGATAAGGTTGCACTGGTTTATGCTCCTGTGCAGTCAGACCAAACTAATGATGATGGAGTATGTTGCCCTCTGTGCCCATTGTTGTTGTATATTTCATATGCAATGTACTGTGTCATACATAGTTTAATATTAAAGGCCCAATCTGGTGGAAACACCGCAGAGCTTTCCCACGACAACGCCTCGGTTTCCTTCTCTGAAACATGCACTTTAAAAAAACAAAAACATACTGTGCTGGAACAAATTACATAAGGTGACTTTTCCTCAGATGAACTGCAACACAAAAATAATTTCTTCTAAAGTAGGCCATCATAAACACAATAGAGTTATAGATGTCTGCTAGTCCTGAAAAGGGCAGGAGCCTTCATGTAAGGGTCATATCGCTGTTTTTTTATTACTGTAATGTATTTTAAATGTTGCAACACATTCAAATACGATTAACTTTCTGACTTGTTAAAGTGCTAAATTGTCACCTTATATTTGGGCCACTGTGGTATTTTTAAGTATTCTTCGTTGCACTGGAGCTGGAGGATTTTCTTGTCACGTTCAGTGGCAACGGCCCCAGGGGTTATTTTCTATTTCATGTATGTAATATGTATTTTCCGAAGGAATCCAGATTGGGACTTTAATGTGCGATCTCACTGTGACTCACTGTTCCTATGTGCCTACTACCAGCCAACATACTGTATCTCATTGGAGTATGGGTTTGCATTTGTATTATTTGATTACTCTATCATTTTAATGCAGTAGAGGGAGTACACGAGAATAACTGTAGATTAATATATTTGCATTGGAACCTGCTGAGGTGTGGCTCCTTTGTTTTTGTCTCCTCGCGAGTTTGCGTGGAGCATTCCCTCCGCTTCTCATCCACAGGGACATGTAGCTTCTAAGGGGTGACGGAGAACAGGCCCAGCGACACCCACACACCAGTTATGACACTGACCACAGACGACGAGAGCCCGACCGGCAGAAAGCACCAGACTTGTTTTGACAGATTCGCCTTTTCTCCATATTGCCTGTGTGAAGCCGGATCAAATGCATTGCATACATGCCGACCGCATCACATTTATTTTGTAAAATTCAAACAAGCTTGTGGGTGATTATCAATATTAATCGCTATGAAATGTGTTTGTTTCTGAATGTAAAAAGGAGTAACTTGAAATATCCAAATGTTGGTTTTAAGAGCAGGAGACTGAGCTTTTATCCCAGTGTGTGGCTGAAGGAAAGGTTTTTGGCATCACTGACCCCTTTCCAGTGTCCACACAGACACTTGTACGCCCTCTGTAAATCTTACTAGGTTATATTTGAAAAGAAAGCATCACTAACCATATTATAAATATGACGGATTAAGGTAAATCCCTTGCACCCTGATGCTGATCACGTAAGAGTCGGTTTGTAGTCGGGTGCCAGATGGTCGACTGACAGTGAATGAACGGATGAATGGCTGTGATCTGAAGTTCTTAATGATTAACGGGTTAAACCAGTTCATTATTAAAGGTCCATCGCAGATGTTTAAGTGAAGGACATTTGCAGGTTGTATTTTTTTTTTTTTTTAATAGTCGCACTGACATTTTGAATCATATTTCATTGAACAGGTGTTTATGGTTAAATGATAAACATTTCTCCGGCGCTTGTGGCCACACAGGAACATTTCCTAAATACATTCATGCTGCAGTTGAACATTTGGATAAGAAACTATTTTATAGTGCTTAAAATTATACCAAGTGCTAAGACTGAAGTGAGAAGTTGTGGTGTGTGTTTGTGTGTGTCATTTGAATGTAAGTTATTACAAACAGTAATCCTGCTGTAGGCCATATGTGTGTGTACAGTATGTCGTTTTATTTTCAGTTTGTTGATTCTGAGGGGGAACTATTATTACGTTGTAAATGTGTGCAACACAAATAGTCATGCTAACGTTTTTTTAAAGAAATACTGTAACAGTAGAACACAAATACAGGGAATTACGTTGTTTATTTTCATTAAAGAGGGAAGGAAACTTTTCTGTTCAGGGACTGAAGTGTTCTATTCTACAGAACAGATTGCACCGTCAATAAATATAAATATAAATACATTACGAATGTCTTGTTTGCCTCATTCAGCATTAAATAATGAAGTCATGTAAGGAGTCAACTTAACACAATATTGATGTTTAGCTGATCTCATATTTCTGGCTCAAAGATGTAGAGGTCGACGTGGCGCAGGGGTAGAGAGGCTGCGCCGGGAACCACAAGGTTGGTGGTACGAGCCCCGGCTGCTCCATGTCCCATGTCGAAGTGTCCCTGAGCAAGACACCTGACCCCTAATTGCTCCCCGGGCAAAATGTAAAAACCATGGGTTAAAAATGCGATGGAAGTTGTTGGATTAAAGCATCAGCTAAATGACCTGAAACGTAACGTAATGTAGAAGTCTGAGAACAAGTTGTCAACCCTGATGGGGAGTCAAAATACGACTGAACAACAAGGTGAAAAAAATGTGTATCTGCCTCCAGACCCCTGCAACGGGTCCCGGCCCCTCGCATGCTCAACTTGAACGTGCAGTGCGCCGGAGTTACTGACAAAATCCTCCACTTCGACATGCCCGTCGTAGTGCCCTCCTTTACATAGTGATGAGCAGAGACACCTGTCAAAGAGAAAAATGTTCGCTTAAAAGGCCGCTGTCTCACTGCTTTGTAGACTCGTCTGCAAAACCCACCGAGGTCCCGTAGACACATTAACAAGTGTCGTCTGCTGTGTGACACATCTGCCCGTTAGTGTGTACCTTAAACTCACGGTGGTTTCATACCTGCGTACATTTACACTGGACCCTTTGCAACGACCTGCTGTCACTTCAGGTAGTGATCATCTCTCGTTTCCATAGGAACCATGTGAAAATGGTGCAGTGCTTCGCGCCACAGGGTCCTTCCACGTTCAGCCCTTGCGACGCTAGTCATTTCAGTCCCAGCTTTGTTCCACGGGGAGGCAGTGTGTCTCAGAGAGCCGGACCGACAGCTGGTGTAAACAACGGTAAAGCAAGGCAGCGCTGAAAGATTAACCAATGCGCCCAATGTTGGTCTAGCAAACCCGTTTGTGCTCAGTGCAGCTCAGCAGCTCTTTCTCTGAGGCTTCTCCTCCATCCTGTCCTTTCTACATCCTGCACGATGTGTCTCAGTGAAGAACTGCTCCACCACTCGCTTTCTCTTCACTTGCAAACTAATGTCTGGTGAACGACACAGACCTGAAAATCTGAACATTTGAACGAGGTATTAAAAAAACAAAAAACAAAACGGTTCAATCAATCGTGAACTATGAGGGACAGAGATGACAGAACGCCAATCCCACAACGGGAAGGCCGGTCTGCTTTCAGAGTGGAGAGATTGTAAAATGAAGAGAGGGGAGCAGACGGACAGAGGCCAACCTCAATGGTTACAAAATGGTTTCTGATGCTGAGTGGAGGACGAGCAGGTGTGTGTGGTCCCACCGGGTAATGACAACATTCTGCAGAGTTGAGTCAGGACGGAGAAGTGAAGCCAAGCAGGAAGAAGGAGATGATGGAGGAGAGGAAACGTATTTCTTTCTGGCAAAGCGGTTTGTCCGTGCAAATTGATAACTTGAGAGTCTGTCATCGGTGGAGGAAGGATGGATCAGATGGAGCGACGAGAACCCTTCTTACATAAGACAAGCTGAACTGCACCCTTCAAGTACCTTAACGTACAAGTGATTCATAGGAGCCGTCTTTCCCTCGTACGGACGTCTCCCGAGATAACGCGAGGCCTGCTCGCCACTGGGCTCTCCTACTTCAGCTGCTGTCCGTGCTTCAAAGCAAAGACTGCTCAAGAGGCCCTCGGGCACGGAGTAATTAACAGCAGGCTGGATAGAAGGGCCACTCCAGCAACAGGATGTGTGATCGTGTTCTCAAGAGGGGAGGCGTGCCGGGCCGCCGAGCCAACGTCCATCGCCGCTGATCCTTCACACGGCGACCAAAAGGAGGGCATCTCGTCTGATCGACCTCGCCCCTCCATCTGGCAGCTGACTATGAAAGCTGAACTTTTCTCGACGAAGCGGCAATCGATTTTGGGTGATGTTCACATCTCGGGCAGTGCGACACTTGTGTTTGTGTGTTTTTCTCTGCAAAGGGCATTGTTCACAAATGGAGACAACCGATCCGACAAGAGCAATACAGACACTTTGTAGGAGAAATTCACTGAATCCAAACGGCCCATTTGCACACATAACTTTTATCCTCTCCGACTTTTAATCTAGCACCAGCTGCACGTCAAAGGTTCCGCTCGTCCGCTAGAACATCTCACCAACAGCTTACCTGCGCAACCAGGAGGTTGGCATCCGATTGCCAAAAGGTTTGTATAATGTATAACGCCTGTGTTCTTTCTCAGATTTCCATGTAGCATCATCATCTGATTGAATACTAATCCTGCCAATTGCTTGGGACCAAATATCTGAAAAACCAACCAACCGTCATCCTCACCTGTATTTAACCTCAGATCTGGGAACAAATTAAATGTACACCGTGAGCTTGTTAGCAGTGGGAATGTCCCCCTTGAAACAGTTATTTGCATTGGTGTTCAGCAATGGATTTGAAAGCTACAGTAAGTTGTGTAGCATGAAGGAGTCAGTCTACCATTTCTTTCAATCAATCAAAGTTTATTTGTAAAGCACATTTAAACTACAACAAAAGTTGCCCAAAGTGCTGTACGTACAACAGATACACGGCCGTACAGGCCGCAGTGAGCCAGACGGGGCAGATGGCTGCAGCAGTGACAATGTTTGGAAATGAACTCTATTGTCCACCGGTAGCTAATGAAGGGATTTTAATATCGGTGAAATGCAGTTAAAAGTCTCGCTGCTGAGATCTGCACCAAAAGAAAGGCGTGTCAAATAAAAAAGAATAAAAGGTTTTTGACGTGGGACTTACAGTGGGTTGTCAAGGGGAAAAGACACACTGAGGGATTGTCCGGTATAACATTCTTTGATTAAAGCTACTTTGCCTGGATGACTAGACTCATTGTTTTCTTCTGTTCTCGTGGACAGGAGGATGTGCTAATGGAGCTTTCTGCACTCAGTCCATTTTACTGACGAATGAACCTCCTGCACTGGCTGAACTAGCTTTGTATTTGCCCAATTTAACACTTCCACGGAGAACTCACAACACACTGAAGAGCGTTTCTTTCTTCTCCCGGTGACGGTGTTCCGAGCCGTGAGGTAACTTCTGTCTCTGGAGATTTACTTGATCAATTCTCTCGTTCTCTTTGAGGCCAAAACACAAAGACAAAGACACCTCAAACAACACTCACCGACACCCACACACGCCCTCCTACGGCTGCTCTGTCGGGTTTAAAGTGCAGCCATTAGAGGCTTTTCAGTCCAGTGTAGACATAAGAAACAGATGTTCCCTGGACAACCAGAAGTAATAAACCTGGGAGATGCACAATGTTTCTATGAGTTATATTAATGATTCAGTAGAAAATAGATAAGATACAATATTACTTAATACCATAATTGTCAATTATTTGCAGGTATAAATATATATAACTATAAACTATCATGGTATATTTTTTCAGGATTAGGTCAAATAAATGTGTTATTACTTAAACTGGTGTTTTATTTTTGAGAAACAGTTGATTTCAATGAAGAGTTTACATTTAGGTGTTGGTGACCGTGGTCACATTTTCTTGATGCTCACTTGTTATCCATCTGATTAGATCTATTCTAGTCCAAATCTATTGTACGATTATACCCACCCCTCACCCTCCTTGCTACTTCTAAAGAAAACAAAGAAGGTCTATCTGTTCATTTCTGCACAGCCTGAAGTGTTTGTCAGTGACTTTGGGTACTTTGGCTGACTCACTAAATGAGGCATCTGACCCTGTAATGCCAGAGCCAATATCCAAACAGCCAGAGATGGTTTAGGATTCCTGCAAAGAATAATTGCAGGCGTGGCCATGCATATCTGAAAGAAATATGAATAAGATATTGTGGTTAACTTCTGTCTCATTTATATGTAGATTTCGCCATATGAACATCCTTCAGGGCATTGCCAATTATTTAAGTACGTTCAAAGTAGGTTCAACAATATAAAGCAGCTTTAATACACAGATGACATGGGATTATTCAGCAAGTCACTGTGGCTGCATAACAATGCACACATATACACACACAGGTATAGACAAGTATCATAGAGGAATAGCAAATCTTGGTGATCACCTCAAAGCTTCCGTGTCCCTCTACTTTCTCCAAGATATTAAGTGTTCTAAGAGTTTTGATCACATATGCACGTGTGCACGCTACACTACGGATTTACACACCAAAACGGTATTCTTCAAAACAAAATACAAATTTACCGCAATCCCTTTTAGACTGGAAGCGGCATCGGCAAGGAACCTCCATTCCGGGTTTTGACGGTCTTTGTGGACATTCATTCATTCTCTCATTCTGCAGCAGCAGGGTCTGGCAGTCCGGTCCCATCGGAGCCGCTTCTGAATCACCCGAGACCGGAGACATGGCCTTGGCCTCCAGTGGGGAGAAACTAGGCATGTTTCCTAGTTTCCTGTAAATCAGCTTGATTTCTTCTTATTTTTAGTGGATTCCAAGATCTTCCCTCCGATGGTCTTGTTTGCTCATGTAGGTCAGAGGCATCAGTATTGAATTGAGACTGAATTAAGTTAAAGTTCCTCGCAGAAACTAGCTAAAATAGCCTCAACCCTGTTTGAGAGATGAGTGCCCTGCAGGCTGCTTCACCCCCGTCCTGAGAGGAGTAGTAGTAGAACATCACCTATTTACAATGAGAGGTTTAATTGTAATATGATCATGTGATTTTTACTCGGTCGAGGCTCCCCAAGAGCAGGCTGACATCACAGAGCTGCATTTTGTCCTGAGAGGGTTTCCTCAATTACTTTCCACTCTACCTCCACACGACTGATTGTGCACATAAATTAAACAGCCACCTGCGCGTATGTGTGTTTTTTTTGGTGCTGCAAGACCACTAAACAAATTGAAACATCAGCTCGATTGAGAATGATTGAATAATGGTGCACCTCTGTGGTATTGCTGTACAGCATCACTGAGCGTTCACATTTGAATT